CTGTGTATAGATGAACGTTATACTGTTATATATATATATATATATATATATATATATATATATATATATATACTAGCAGCATGGCCCGGCGTTGCCCGTGCTTGATTCAAAAATCGTACGACTCATACAACAATCGCTATCACTTGACTTAAAATATTTTTTCCCTTCTTTGCCTTTAAAGGAGTGCCCTTTGCCGTGCTGATGTTGCTACATGCCTTACTTCTTGCCTATCTCACATGCGAATTTTTTCTAAGCTCTATACTAAACATATTAAACCTGTTACGAAAAAAGAACTAAACTAAAAGAATGTTAACAACAAATACTTTTTCACTACCAACACAGTTCTGCGGAATCAGAATCAACGTTGAGTTTAAGCAAGCGAATGAGCCAATTGGAGTAAAGTGCCATGCAGATTTAAATTTTTCCCACTTGTGACGAATGCAGCTATCGATTTTTTGTATGCTAGCATGGTAGTTAACATTCGTGTCAGTCAGCTGTTGACTGTCACGCTGGCCAATAGAATCTTCCTGCCTATTCGTGGCAGCCAGCTATAGGCTCTCACTCTGGCAAGTACAAAATGGCCGCAAACTACATGAAAACTGCCGTAGAAGCACGAAAAAATCGATTATTTCCACTATCGATAGGAGTTGGGACGTGCAAAGTCGGTCTTGGCTTTCCCGCTAACGTGGAGCATGTGCATGTAAATTTTGGTTCAAATCCGTCGAAAATTGCAGCCATGAATTCGTTACACACACACACACACACACACACACACACACACACACACACACACACACACACACACACACCCTGCAGTTTATAGACAGAGATGCATATACATATAAATATAAATATATATATATATATGTATATACACATATATATATATATATATATATATATATATATATATATATATATATATATTTATATATACGAGTATATTTGATGTAAAAATATGCAGATAAATATTTTTTCTTCAGAAAATCCCTATTAAAAGTGAATAAATTTTGATAACAAACATTAGAAATCACGAGAAATGATAATAATTAGAAATTGATAAGAAACATCAGACACCAAATGAATGGTATGAACTTATGAATAGGATGCATAATTAATGAAAATAAAAGAAGATGGCCGCATCAAAGTCAAACGTTATTTCTTTGTTATTATTCCTTATCTTTTATTATAATTATCCCAGGCCAGTTTTTCAAGTGAAACTTACTTGTACAAAGGTTTTGCTTTTATTTTCGATTGATAATCTATCCCTCGTTATAATTCATGTTATTTTATTAATCTTTGCTGATTAATACAATTCAATAGAATCTTATTGCTTTAATCAGATGTTCCTTTAAAGAATCAATGTAAATCGACATATACTTATATATATATATATATATATATATATATATATATATATTATTATTATTATTATTATTATTATTATTATCATTATTATTATTATTATATATATATTATTATATAAATTATCTGATTTAAAATATGTTTTTTTCGCTACTATATTTAAAAAAAAACATACTTTAAATCAGTTAGTTTATAATATTTATGCTCTGTAAATTTACATTGAGCACTGTTTTGTAAAAATAAAAGTAAAAAATATCAATAAGAACACCGGATTATATATCTTACTGTTCTTTCTGTTTATTTGTGTATATATATATATATATATATATATATATATATATATATATATATATATATATATATATATCGCTGGGCTGAAAATTGCGTTTAAGCATAAAACAGACTGTTGCCGCTTTGTGTTAACCTCACTATCGACTTTTACATTTATATACCTGATTTTGAGCCCACTTACCCATAAATACATCATACCTTCAAACTATTTTCATCATATATATATATATATATATATATATATATATATATATATATATATATATATATATATATATGTGTGTGTGTGTGTGTGTGTGTGTGTATGTTCTTTTATATACATTCCATTCATTCTGACGGAAAGGAAAATTGAAGTAGGTGCTTGAATACCATTTCATTTATATTAGTTCGATAAGGAACACTCATACTCAACTTTCGGCTCACATAAGGAAAATCCTTATGCATAACACTGTCATTAATATAAAAACCGCAAGGACACTTTATATATATATATATATATATATATATATATATATATATATACCAGGTGTAACAGCATAATTGTTCACACAACAAAATGTCTAAAAGCAAAATAAATAAAACACTTCACTAATTAGAGAGGAAAACGGGATCAGAAGATCACAACTAGATTAGAAAAGATCCAACTCAAGTATGAGTGGAGTTTCAGCTATGCCATTCCAAAAAGGAGGGAAAAACGACTTTAAGTGAATTCAGACGTGAAACCTGTGAGGCATCTTGTTAATCCAGGACGGAAAGGTTCATCTTGAATAAGTTAGAAAATTATCCAGGAATAACCTAGGAGAGTTCAAGTAAGAAATCTTTAATCATTTCTAAGATAAAAAAAAGGATCAAAACTTAATCTAACAATTGGACAATTTTGCTGTTACATGATTCGAAGAATTTTGCTGTTACACCCTGTATATTATTAATTTATTACCCAACAAAGCCCAAGAGACATTCAATCGAGAGGTTTAGTGAATAAGGTTTTGTATGAACGTAAAAAGAAAAGGTAAGAAGCACTGATTATGTGGATATATCAGAAAGATAACGGTTGATTCTATATTTGATGAAGTTAAGATTCTATCGTTCAGAGAAACATCATCTCGGAAGTTTATTCCACAAATTAGTGGCTCTTAGGAAGAGGCTGTTTGACTGTAACTTGAACTTATAAATGGAATACGAAGAAATTAGGGCTGATTTGTCCCAGTCTACGTTGCATGGCGAGTCTTAACTTTCAAGGTCTAAATTGGTGGAACTAACGAATGCAGCACATCGGAATATTTGCCATGGAAATAGTGATAGAGCATTGAGAGTCTTGACGCATTTCGTCTTTGGAAAAGCTGTTGTAGAGCTTAAAATAGTTTATCACTCATAACGCCACGGTTTTGGAATGTATCTTGGTAGAAAAGTGTGGCCTGGGCAGCTCTAAGTTATGGCAGCAGAAACCGTTGGTAAGAAAATGAGACCTGGGCAGCTCCAGCCAAGTTATGGCAGCACAAACCGATGTATCTTGGTAGGAAAGTGTAGCTTGGGTAGCTCCTGCCAACTTATGGCAGTAGAACTCGATGCTTGGTCTGATTTGGTTCTTATAAAGATAAAGCATAGCAGGATGAGTCAGGTACTTTCTGAAACAGTAGAAAAAACGGCATTTTCCCAGCATCTTTAGCGATGGATCGTATATAGTAGTTTTAGTTCTGGGATAAAAAGCTGAAATCACAACCAACGTTCAAGTCAAGGAGCCTTCTTGAGTGAACATGCGTTCATTTCGAGAGACGAAAATTCAGGTACTGCTCAGTGATGATGGAACGTTACTATAGTTTAGTATTTGATTTGATTTTTCAGCGTTCTCACTTTTTCTTGGTTTATTTGTCTTTCTCGGTTTATTTGAATTGAGTTCATATTTCTTCCGGTTTAGGTTAAAGTCAATAAAATGTGTAAATGAAATGTTATAAGCTGTGTGTCTGTCTCATCATGCAGTGTGTCTGTCTCATCATGCAGTGTGTCTGTCTCATCATGCAGTGCGTCTGTCTCATCATGCAGTGTGTCTGTCTCATCATGCAGTGCGTCTGTCTCATCATGCAGTGTGTCTGTCTCATCATGCAGTCTCATCATGCGTGCGTCTGTCTCATCATGCAGTGTGTCTGTCTCATCATGCAGTGTGTCTGTCTCATCATGCAGTGTGTCTGTCTCATCATGCAGTGTGTCTGTCTCATCATGCAGTGCGTCTGTCTCATCTTGGTTTGTATCTCACGTAATTTGTCGACCTTTCTCCCATTTATTTTATTACAAGCACCAAATTAACAGGGATATTTTGTTTCGAGTCTTTCGTAATACTGAACGTACTTTTGTGTTGCATCTCAGCTGGTACAATATACAACCCTCTTTCGTTGGACAATCCTTAAGGAAAATATATTAAAAAAAAACTATTTTCAGAAAAGGAAGGTTAGCTTATATAGTAACCATTATGTCTCATTCCCAGCAATGCAAACCCCGCTCATTCTCAGCAACACATATAACACTGATTATTTAGTATTTATCAACAGAAATGCTGACCTCTTCTCTAGTCTTTGACCTGAAACGAACACATCCGCCGAATAGAATATTATATTCCATTGCTGATGTCCAGGATTTCCTTGAACCCTTCTCTCTCCAGATATTATCTCATATACCTTTTTCTCTGCCTCAAAATAAGCAAATGCCATGTCTCACTTTCATTGTCGTTTATATATTTGCTAAAAAAATACAAGACAATTCTCGTGAGAAATCGACTTTAGTAAGGCGTTTTAGAAGAATGGTTGTGTAAGTAAAAACTATTCAGATAGTGCAAGTCGTTCAGATTCCCCCTTTTATACCTACTGAGGCTACTTCGGGTCTCTGGCTTTCCCAAATCGATATGCTGCATTATGAGGAAACTTACAAAAATCCCTTAACAAGTAGACACTCTGAAAATGAACATTTGGTGCAAAATGAAATCATCCAAGAGAATTAATACATAGATATTGTTATCGAAGTGCCGTAAACATTATACAAACTTCTGAATCGTTTTGTTAATAGACAAAGCGATATCCTCCAAGCCAAACCAAACATTTCAATATCACTAGCGCTTAATTTGAAAGCAAAACACATCTATGTGCTCAAAATGTGATAAATACTTTTTGTTTTCTTACTTTTTTATATGGCGGCCCGCTGACATTTTTAATTAAAAGAAATAATCGTCAAGGTTTACTATAAATTCGTAAGTAATCTGTCATGCTGAATTGTTGCTTAATTCCAGATTTTAAAATCTGAATGATACCATTTAATATTGTATTGCATTCACTTTTTTATTTTTATTTATCTTCCAGATTTTTACGGAGAGAAATGACAATCCGAATTCACACCAGTTTTTTTGCTTCACTGTTTTTCGCCAGTTTGATGCGCGTCTTCTTCACTTCGCTCGTCGTCTACCAATATTTGATCAAATCCGGAAGTCGCTTGCTAATGGAGGAAAACAAGGTATAAAACGACTTTCATTATCATCAATATTTTAAACCTGCATTACTATTTATATCAGAGTGGGGCGAATTGTCGTATCAGTTACGATCACCATCAGAATCAGAATGTGAATTTCGGCTGAGGCAGCTTATATCCATGTTGTACCGGAAAAGACATACATTCACTTCTCTCTGCGATCTGTTTTATTACCAGATAGCTTGACAAAAAGTCTCGTTATTTGCATGACGCAAACGTTAACAAAGAAGAATGTAAGTCATAAACTATCTCTCTATAACTTACAATTACAACTATTTTCACTAAGTTAAGGGAGCAAGTTAACTTAAGAGAATATAAATGGGTTTGATTGGGTAGGAACAGTGAGCCACTGGGAACTTTACAAATGATACCGATCTGGACGTACGCCCATAACGCTTTAGAATCTGAGAGATGAAAAAAATCTATAAGACGTGAAAATTTAAATTATCACTAATTACAAAAATTACCACCAATACTGGGCAGAGTCATGGAGTTTTGAGAAGACTTGCTGTCTCTTGACCCTGTGATGGTCACTAGACACCACTGTAATAAGGTTAGCGTGCCGACTAATGAAGAAGACAAAACTTGAGTCTTTTACATGATATTTTATTCAACTCATGGCTTCGTCGATTATTCTCGGTCTGTGTGTGGGGCGTGGCCTTGAAATAGAATTCTCAAATATATTATCCCTGTGTTACGTCCAAAATAGAAATAGTATTCTCAAGTATATTATCCCTGTGTTACGTCCAAAATAGAAATAGAATCCTCAAATACATTATCCTTGTGTCGACCAAAATAGAAATAGTATTCTCAAATATATTATCCCTGTGTTACGTCCAAAATAGAATTAGTATTCTCAAGTATATTATCCCTGTGTTACGTCCAAAATAGAATTAGTATTATCAAATATATTATCCCTGTGTTACGTTCAAAATAGAATTCTCAAATATATTATGCCTGTGTTACGTCCAAAATAGAAATACTATTCTCAAATATATTATCCTTGTGACTGCCCAACTCCTCTTTCCGATGCACGAGTCTTTCTCACGTTTGCAAAATCGGATGAAGGAGCGAGGTCACGTGCTTCTGAATTCGACAATCTGAGAGACCCCAGATTAAGCCACCGATGCATCAGGCTTCTTTAATCATTAACTGGGACATTGAGTGCAATCTCTATCCCTACATAATTCCCTAACTAATGATATGCAATGTTGAAGAATGTAAATGAATAATTATGGAAACAACATGAATCGGAATAAAAATTAGCCATTTTTTTCTAGAACTTTGAAACCAAAACAGATCATGTAATCTAAGCCAGATTTCCAAATCTAGTGAATGTCAACAAGAAGAAAGAAAATTGCCTGACAGGATCTCATTGTTAGAATAAATCACAGAGTTAAATTGAATACAAGTAAAAAGTTGTGACCATTGTTATCGGTGTACTTGAAATAATCTATAAAAAAAAATTGGCTCGATTGGGAATCCGAATACAAAGAGTTCTACAGAATTGAATAGGCCTCTTGTCAGTTAATCTTTGCTGTAAGTCATCACTTGGTACAGGTGCGTAGAATAAAAGAAAAGAAAACTTAATATGGAGAACAAAAGAAAAGATTAAAAAAAGAAAAATATTAAAACCTTTTCCTACGGAAGATAAAAGCGTATGAGAGTGATGTCATATCACTAGTCCCGTAACTACTAAGCTGTTAGGGGCAGTACATGTACTGTATCCATAATAGCAGTGTATATATCTAATGCAATATCGCCTAACAGCTTCCATCCCATTTCCAGGTTGGTTTTGAAGTCAAAAATTGCCTTCACCATTTTACCAACTCAAGGCAAGTCAATCTCGTCAACCCTGCTATTTAATTCATATCTTTACACTTTTTCCAAGTGGATTTGTGACGATTTAAACATAGCGAATTCAATCTGAATGCGAACTCAGCTTGCCGATTGTCACCGCAAGTCATTAACAGTTGCACCACCTTCACTTCAGTGAACTCATTAAAGAAATAACTTAAGAAACAATCCCAGTCATTCGTGGCCGGACATTTGGCAGACGGACATTTGGCAGAGAGACATTTGACAGAACGACAATTTGACCGACAGCCATTTCCCCAAAAAAGTACCAAGCAATACTTTATGTATTTTAATAAGCAGTATTATAAGGTAGAATAGGTCTAATAATTACCACTGAATTTCAAGTGATTAAATTACTAAGTCTAAATTTAAAGTTAAAAGTTTTCGCATTTCAATATTTGTTTATTGAAATTAGTATTTTAAAAAATATTTGAGTAAAATAATATTTGTATAAAAAGTAGCACATAATTGTTGAAATTCGTATTTAACAGTAAGATAAAAGCTACTTCATCCTTTTAAGATAATGGTCATTACAAACGAAATTGAAAGATCTAAAAGCTTAAGATTTTTACTGAAATAAAATCTGCTTTTTCTCAAAATACTTATCATCTTAAAGTAATATTTAAAGTAAAATATAATATATAAAGAATAGAATAAAAAAAATAAAATTTTCAAAAAAAAAAAACGAAAAATTATAAATTAATACAGTAAATAAATATAAATATATGTAGCACGTTTCGATAAAGAGTGAGACATACATGTAAGTACGCCACTATATTTTCGGCTAAATGTCCGTCGGCCAAATGTCCGTCGGCCAAATGTCCGTCGGTCAAATGTCCGAGTAGCAAGTCATTTGAGAATAAACCTGGGAAAAATAAAAGATCAACGAAGGAATTGAAATGATGCGAAAGACTGCGAGAAAAGACAAAAAAGCGAAATGAATTTGAAGAGATTTGCCATTACTTGTTTCACAGTCTTTACCATGAAATACACCCGTGGTGATGAAGCAGATAATGTCTTTTAAATATATTCGATATCATTACCTCTTACCAATTTAATTAGTTTTGACTGTAGGGAAAATGCGTAAACATTTCTTTTCATTGATCAGGCCAGAATTTCCCAGTACCAAAATCTATTTAGAAAAAAAGGATTATCTCATTAAACCGTAAGTAGTATTAGCAGCAACTAACAAGCAGATTTAATTCTTCTAAAATCAAAAAGCCGTCAAGGGAAGGATATCAAATTTGTGAAAAGATCAGTGCGGACGTAGAAAAAGATAATGTTCAGACGTAGAAGAAAATTGAAATTAAATTTATCAAAAACAAAAATATTTCCTTGTAAATTGTAGATAACAATGAAAAATTAACTTAGCTCCTTACGTTTTCAAACTGATTTCACCGCCTTATCTATATTGATCGTTTCATTGTCGTTTCCTTGTGTCAGCTTAGGCTATGTATATTTGTAGAGGAACCAAAATTGCACGTATGCTCTTCACAATTTCGGTTTGTTTTATAAAATAGTAAACGCAAAGAGTATGTACAAAGAATTATGAAGTTGTAATAAGATATCAATTCACATAGAAATCCACAACGGAACATGCTTCCTTAATCGCTTCTCTTTCTTTTTTCGGAATTCAAAGTGGAAAACTAAATAACTATTAGAAGCAATCGAGTAAAACAAGAATATTTTACCAATACCTACAAGAAGATAGAATGTGTGATTATAAGTAAAAACGACATCCCAAATAGGGACCTATGTATTGAGGTTGTCAAATTGTACAGAAATGTAACTATTTGGGTAGAGATGTAACAGATGAAGAAATGTGTGACAAAAATCCAGAGGTACCACAATGAAAATTGAACATAATAGTGAAAGATGCTTTGCATAAACTCGGAAAAAGTATTACAGAATTGAAAAGTATTCTTAGAGACAAAAAATGTTCTGGAATGCAATATAATATCTACTCTCCTATATGACAAGGACTATTGGACAATTTCAGCACATATGAAATAAATATTTTAAGCAATACAAACGGAGCTCTGCAGATAAATTGTGAGATTGCCAGGCACTGATTTTTATTCATTTTTTTAATCATTCCACCCCAAGAAAGGTGAGAATGCCACTCGTACGCAAGAATTACAGGGGGGGGAATTGAAATAGAAGACTGAATATAGGGTGGATTGAGGAAAGGTCAAAAGATCAACGGGATTCAAAAACATAGAAGATGAGGATTGATGTTGCATTTAAATTTTTGAAGAGTGTAGTTATCAAGGAAGCAAGTAAACTGAGGGGAGCTCCTCAGGCGGGAAGCGCGAGACATGAAATTGTTGGAGTAGAAGTGGCAGTTGCATTTATCTATTTGTACAGTAAACGGGTGGAGGCTAGATGCCAATCTAGTAGCACGCCTAAATTCATGTAATCAGGCCACTAGAGAAAAAAGATCGTCAGAGCAGTTGCCATGAGAATATTTGTAGAAAAGACAGAGGGAAGCCACATCACGTCTGTGAGAAAGTGATTGTAGACGAAATGCCAAGTCAGGATTGATTACATTACAGACCCTTCTTAGGATGTTGTCAAAAACCTCAAGGTGAGTAGCAAGCGCACCAGACCAGATATGGTAGCAGTAAGATGGACTGGAAAAAGTTTTCTGGCAAGGCACCGTGACCCAGCTTTCCTTTCAGTAGATTAAGGGAGAAATTACTAAACTTTATGAAGACTACAATCTACAAAGAAACAGTTGATAACAATATAGCTGAACTTTTGCAGGAACATAACAAATTAAAAAAATTCCGCTGCCGAAACAGTAATTAATCCTCCCACCACCAAATTCTAATGTTTTGTTATATGGCCCACCGGAAGTAAACATTACATAGAAATCTGTAAAAATTAATTTGTTTTTTCGATAAATTTACATTAGTCTGGTGTTGTAACCTAGGAAGGGTTACTGAATGAGAAATAACCAAAACGGAGGTTGAAAATGAAATGGTGATCTTTATAACATCAACAAAATACAATACTCGCCAGCGGCGTGAAATAGGTAAACCACTGCTAGTGGTGGACTACGTAGACAGCATATTAGCCCCACCTTACAATAGTGTCCAATGTATTTATGAGGATTGCGAAATACCTATTAGTGTTCATAGTTATGATATATAACATCTGGAAAAAAAATCTGCTACAATGGAGCGCCCAGAGTATTGTATCCATCAGAGTAAAGAATAGTTCTTGGTGACAAGCTTGCTAATCCATACACTACTTTGTTAATATTAATAATGTAAAGCACGATCTGGTCACCCTTTCTTAGTAATCATTATAATACGAATCAACTTAAAGGAAATTGTCCTTCATAAGAACCTATAGATTGTCGACACGAAATCCGAGATAAAGAGCTTTGGAGCTAATAATAACCACATCATTTGAGAACGTACAGCAGAAGATACATCAAAATTAGTAGCATATATATCCTGAAAAGAAAGTATTGATATAATCAGGATATTAACATTGCCCACTACTTAAAACAGAAAGTTTGGAAGGAAACTTTTATCAATATTAGGAAAAACGACATATTTTTTCGAGGGTAAGACCTCTAATTTCTCGAAAAAAATACACTATTTACATTATTCGGACTATTGTCCATATTTATCACAACGTTTCGGACGTTGTACGCTCCGGCCTTCTTCAAGTGGTTGGAATGTCGAAATGAATCCATTATATATATATATATATATATATATATATATATATATATATATATATATATATATATATATCTTTCAATATATTCGCAGTACTAGACTGGCAACGAGATATCATCAATTTACTGTTGAGCTGGCTCACATGTAACAATAAATTCTATGCTAACAGTTTCTTTTCTCACTACTCTAATTCCCTTCCGGCTCCATACTTTCTAGCCAATTTTAATCTGCTAAAATTTAAATGCAATGTCAATCGCTATCTCATGTCTTCTTGTTTTGTTCTAGCTCTTCCCCACCCAGTAACCCCTTGAGTTTCAGTGGCTTTACTGCCTTGTTTGGGACGATTAAAAAAAATGATGATGATAATAATAATAATATATATATATAAAATATTTGATTTGTTTTGTTTTTTTGTTTTTTCAGATTGAATGTTTAGCCTTGTATCTCATCCATCGATATTTTCAATGCACAACTTATTTTTGGATGTTCTGCGAAGCATTCCATCTTCACCAACTCATGGTGAATTCTTTCCGGCCACCAAGACGTACCTACGTGTATCACGCATTTGCTTGGAGTAAGTAGAAAGAATTTATTCTAACAGGTTTTGTCGGGCGTGTATGTGTGAGAGAGACAGAGAGAGAGTGCGTATGTGTGTCTGTGTGTGTGTCTGTGTGCATGTATGTGTGAAGCTTATCTAGTTATACAAAAATTCTCTCCTTTCCTCTGAGTAATAATAGGAATAAACAATAAACAAGTCAATATTATCTTATAATACAGCTTTATACGAAGCTACGCTCAACCCGTCGAGATTTGTGTATGTCAATCTATGTGTTTTCGCAGCCCAAAGACGGCTATAAAAAAGAGATAGGAATTACGATATGTGTATCAAAAATGGTAGATAGCAATGCTTGTTTATATACGAGGAACAGAGTTCGTTTATTCTGTGCAGCACGGAATGTATTGCAGTGCCAGTATTCAACAATGGAGTGTTTTTATTTCCAGCCTGAAGATCTTTTCACCGATAGCCAAAAGGTGAAACACAATTTGCAATGCCCTTGTTTTAGCTGGCAAACAAGCAGAATATAGTTGCATCAAAACTCGATTCCATGTAAGATTTGACCCCGAAGACCCACAAGGAAATCAGAAAAATATTCCATTCCACTTTCATCTTCTTTTCGCCTATCTTTCACTTCAAATTTCTGAAACCCCACCATTTCCCTCAAAACAATGCTCAAGTGCCACTCAAACTAGAGGGTTACTAAATGAGATTGTTGTAAGGGAAGTGAAAGGAAAGTTCATATTATGAAGACGTGTGGGATAGATATAGGTTGACCCTGGATTTAAAGAGATCAAGATTGTTGTTGTCATGAAAGCATCTTCCCGGGAGTTTGTCCCACAAAGTAACAGCTTCGTATGGCATAGTACCATAAATGGGATAATACTGTGTTGGCCCAATCCCTCAAGTAAGAAGGATCTGCCAACAATAAAATATTTTTGAAATCAGGAATTTAAAGTTGGTAGGTTGATTATACTGAAGGGAAGAATTTGCTTGTCTACTCAAAAAACCTGTATTGGAAATATGTCATTATCAACGTTGTTTGAGTGTTCCTTCTTTCTTTAAGCCATTAGCCCCCACCCCTATCTCTTGAAGAACAAGCAGGATTTCATGAATTAGTTATAAAGCATTAATGGAGCGGCTGTTTTTTCTCCACTAGGTGCACCAGATGACCCCCAGCAAAACTACAGATCAAATCCCCTGTTTACTCTAAATACAAAAACGATGACAAACAATTTCTTATTCTTTAAAGTTTTCTGTTTTCATCAAGCTTAAAATGAACAGTTTTAACTTTCTTATAACTCGCCATCACATATGAATTGAAATTTGAAGTATTTATACATTACAAGGTGTGAGATATCAATAAGCGCATTTCCCCTTCATATTTCTTCACGATCAGTTTCCAAGTGAAGAGATACTGTCTTCAGATTTCCTATTTCGAATCCCAATTTACACCTGGGTTCAGGCATCGATCACTGACCCCGATAAGAAATACGTATCTATTATTCGCACTAAGCATTTCATCAAGAACGTGTCGACTAAATTTGTCGTAAGGATTTATACGAAACCAAACTGTATACGTTCTACTATCTACCATCAAATCCGATAGTACAATGAAATTCATCTTGATTTATTATTAACTACACCTAAAAGAGACAGTAAACCTATCCACTACCTGCTACGAGGAAGGTATTCCAATCTGTGAACCTACCCTTTGTATATTCTACATCTTCACCTACGGTGCACAAATTTAGTTACACCTTCAGCCTCGCCGACAGCCAATGTAAATAAAACGGACATAAATGCATTTCTGAAATGTTCGCGTTAAGTTAAGCTCCGGTGATCATTTACGATTATCCCTTAGAGCTCTCTGTCTTTGTCAAAACATGGATCTCAGGATCATACGTTAAAATTTAAATATCAAATCTAAAGATTTGAGCTTGATCCATGGTTCTGAATTTCAATTTTTAGCCTTATTCATGAAAGACCGCTTGGAAAGAGTGACAGATATCTTCAATCAGTTCGCTCATCCGGTGAGAAGAAAAGTATTTTCGGTACACTCTTTACATTGTTGGGAGTGTTGTTCTCATCTTTATGGCCATATTCACGAGGTTTCGGTCGTTGTACGCTCCGGACTTCTTCAAGTAATAGTAGTTGGAATTTCGAGCCGAAAACTTTATTTAGTCCACGGGATTAGATTATTACCAAGGACACGTGGTCCATGGAATAAAAGTGTTGGTTGAGTGATCGAAAAGTAACTCAACCCAAAGAGTTGTGAGTTCGATACCTGCCAACTGCAGGTGGAGTGGAGGACAAAAACTTAGAAAGTTGAGGTACCAAAGGGAATTAAATGAAAACTGGGTTATCATAGAAAAGCATGGCACTTGGAACAATCCACCCAGGTGTACTAAATAAACGGTTCGGTTCGAAATTCCAACTAATATCACATGAAGAAACGTCGTGAATACGACAATAAAGATGAGGAAAACAGTCCGAACAATGTAAATAATTACAATACCTCATCTCAGAAATATAGACAGATCCTGAAGAAGGGCGGAGCGTACAACTTGTCGAAACGTCGTGAATACAACAATAAAAATGAGGAGAACAGTCTGAACAATGTAAGTAGTTACAGTATCTCATTCTAGAAATATAGACAGTTGGAGAAGAAAAGTCCAATAAAATAAAAGAAGTACAATATCGTGACGTTACTCGCAATCATTCCACCTCGCTGGACGATAGAATCTAATCGGTAATGTTTAAAGGATGGAATTTCTTGTGTCCACACCACTACTCGTACTACAACCTTGCTAACTCAAGCTTGAAGGTTGTCCGAGATACAGGCGTATCCGTTAATCTTTGTACACGAAGAGAAACCACAATGATGAGGAGACTCAATGCACAAACCGCATCTATCCAGTTTCCAGCAAGGATTCTGCATGCGTGATCAGAGACGTCGGTATGAAGTACTTTGGTTAATTATGCTCTCCTGGTTTTATCTAAATGCAATTGCGCAGTATAATTACGACTAAAGTATCCCGACACATATTATTAATAAAAGCCATAGCAATAGCCTACCTAATGTATTTGCGTCTCAGTAATCTTCAAAAAACTAACCAAGTGACTCCACTTCATTTACTCAAACAGTTCTTCCACTGTTCAAAATTGTCGGCAATTTTCACTTCAGAGATCGCCAACGCTTGCCTTGCCCCATTCTCCTTAATCTCGCCCACAGCGTTTCAACCTCTATTTTAACTAAGGTAAATGATACAAGTTGTATTGAAAATTTGTACTGTAGAGAGATCGTCAGACATGGGTGATGCGATTTTTTTATAAAACATCCCTGGGATACAAGTGAATAGTTTTTCTTGGTTACTGCGAATCTTATAGACACACAGTACACAAACTCATTCAAGACCGTCACGCTTACGAGAGAGTCTCAGATATTATTTGATCGGCTGATATTTTTAGATCAAGGCCACGCAAAACGATTCTAGAGTTCTTCAAAATTAAAAGATATCGTACAAAATCGATAATGATTTCCTTTCACCGAACCCTGAGAGTATTTTTAAATATATTTCGTTTGCTTATTCATAGCATGATCTAAATGAAATTCTGTATTTTACAAATTATTGCTCTAAGTAAAAACATCCTTTAGCATCAAAATATTGCAGTAAACAAAATTTCATTAATGGAGCGGCTGTTTTTTCTCCACTAGGTGCACCAGATGACCCCCAGCAAAACTACAGATCAAATCCCCTGTTTACTCTAAATACAAAAACGATGACAAACAATTTCTTATTCTTTAAAGTTTTCTGTTTTCATCAAGCTTAAAATGAACAGTTTTAACTTTCTTATAACTCGCCATCACATATGAATTGAAATTTGAAGTATTTATACATTACAAGGTGTGAGATAGCAATAAGCGCATTTCCCCTTCATCTATTCAATCAATTAACGTTTGCGTAGAACAGCCAGATTCATTCAACCTGAATGTTTATATTATTTTCTGTCTGATTTTCAGTGTATACCGTACAGGTTGGGTAGAGAAATGTACTTAAATGTAGGAAAAAAAGTGTAGTGGAAATTTCAATGGGGAAAGTTATCGGTGTAGTTACGAATAAAAATAGGAAACTATATTGCTCATAAATAAAATTCTTGCTTATTCACCTACGAGTTTCGTTAATTTATATCGGCGAGTAGATGTGGGATCTTGGATCTTCTAACCAGCAACATGACAGACTCTCTTCTTTCTCTCTCGGGATGGATACATCGTCTTACCACCCGTTTGTATCATGTGTTTGCATCTTAAATGCAGATATTGATATATCTCAGGTGGGACGAGTTTATATATCTTCCTGCTACTCGTTTTGATCATGTTTACATCCTAAACGCAGCTGAATCGATCACATGTTGACATTTCGGTGGCAACCACTGACGCGAACTTGTACCAGATGGCTAGGAGGTCACTTTCCATGTCAACCTTCTGATGCTTATGGCTTCTTTGATGTTCTGCTGTGACACTGATTGTAATGTCTAGTTTGGTACATATTTGGGTTATCACAGACCAATTTGCACAACAGATTTCCTATTGACATTAAATTCGATTCAGACCATCTGTGGATCACATACTGCAGTTAGAGAACTACGAGAAATGTAGGGACCTTTGATAAGAATAAAAAACTGGTTGGATTCAGATATCATTGAGCTCATTAGATCTCCATGGATATCGCAAGTAGCGTCAACTAAGGACGTGAGACGATCAAAAGGTTAGGCATAGATTATTCACAAACGATAACTCGTTTTACATTAAAAGAAGCCTATCCTGTACTTAAGATTACAACGATGGTTTCGATAACAGCAAAGCATAGTCTGTAGTCTAAACTAGGCCTTAAAAGTGCGTATCATCAAGTTCCCATACGTAAAGCAAACTACCCTTACTCGATTTTTGAAGCCAGTGGGAAATTGTATAATTTCAAGAGGATGCTGTTTGGGATCACATATGGAGTGGCTGTGTT